GGGCTCTCTGTTCTTCTCTTCTTGGGGTTCACTGTGTGGTGGAAAACCGGTGAGTTAGAGTGTGATACCTTGGGGCTTCTAGGCCTGCAACAATGGCTAGAATATTGGCATCCTTCTCTAAGTCGTTTTGGTAGAATCAAGGCCGTTTGGGAGATCTTCGATCGATGACCAAACCGATTCCTCACCTGGGGTTTTCTATTGTTCTCTTTCTCTCTGGATGGCGGATTGCAAGCATGGTTGGAACTGTTCCTGAGCCTAAAAGCTTCGACCATTGAAGAGGAAGGGGTGCTCACGGGTTCGACCAAAAGGAAGGGCAGCAGCACTGCAAAAAGGGGAGTTTCTGTCCCGTTTATTAAGTCCTAATTTTCTGTCTATTTCATGTTCTGTTCAGTTCTGAGGCTTTGATTTTTCAGTCCCTAGGGTTTAAGTATATTCTGTTAATGCTATGGGAATAATTGCCATTGGTATAGAAAGATTGTTTATTGATAATGCTGATTTCTGAGATTATAATTGAACTGCCATAGTGTATAAGTTGCTGGAATGCTGCTATTGTTTAGAATCTGATATTATGGGCATATTTATACTGTGAATTGATGCTTGTCTTAGGCTGTGATTCCCAACAATGATCAACAATCCCTTAACAACCACCAACAATGAAAATGTTTTGAGCATTCAACAAGTTTTTTCTGGCCTTTTTCAGTTATGGGTCGTAATGTTTTAAGCACACTATTCATCTCCTTCTTCGCCCCGCCCCTCCCCAAACCAAAAATTTGAAACTCAGCCACCATCTCCTTCAACCTTCATCCCGCCGCCGGTTTACCACCAGATCACCAGCCATCTTGTACCTCTGTTGACCGGTGGACTGACGGCGACACCATCTCCTTCTACATCTCTCGAACCCAGTTCACCACTATATCACCGATCATGCTTGTAAACCTCTACAAATTCAAATTCACAACCCCAACAATCAACGCCTACGCAAAATCTATCAATCCGTTTAGAAACCTCTGCTGCTTGTTGGAACATCTTTGCCTCTACATTTCTCAGGCGCACCCTTCATCAATCAATCCACAACAACAATAAACAAATCAATCCGATTTCATTTTCGAAAGAAAAAAAATCAATAACCAAATAAGCAAAATTACCATTTTCAGTGAATCCAAAGGGACGGCTTTTGATTCGACTGTGAAGTCTTTTGATTCACTAATTTTGATTCGACCTCACTGGATTTGGCGGAGTTTATTTTGGTTTGATTATAGTGGTGGCGTTTTGGGGGAAATTGGTGAGAGTGGGGTTGGGGAAGGAGATGGGGGTGGGGGTGGGGTGGTGCCGACATAAAGGCAGTGGTAGTCTCGGTAGTGTGCCGGCACTGTTGCCTAGGAAGAGAGGTGCCTACCGGCTCTTTTTTTTTTGCTTGCCAGTTTTGTTTTGTTTTGTTTTTTACTCGTTTAATGAGAAAATTGTACGGTTATCATTTTACCCCTTTTAATTTTGTCAAAATTGGTCAAAATAGAATATTGTTTGTCAACTAACGGTCAACTGAATGAAAACCGTCCACTTGGACATATTTTTGAAACGTTCAATACCTCATTTGGCACAAAACAAAGGTTAGAATAAAGTTTACAAAAAATACGAAAGCTTTGGGATCGCTACTGCAATTTTCCCTATGAAAAAACAATTTACAAGCAGAATTTGAACGCTCAACAAGTATTTTAATTTTATATAGCACTTGTTTGATCTCCATTTTTTTCAAAATATATTTTTCTTCCTACTTTTTTCAAGGACACATTTTTCAATAAAATAATATTACACGCAATCCAAAAAAATTTCTTTCAATTTTAACCATACATTCTCTATCAATATACTCTTACAAAATGCATTCTATACTAAGATGGGTTCAAACAGGCCCGTAATCACTATACAATTTACTTACTTTTAAAAAAAAATCAAGTCGTCTGGGTCGATCATCATGGGTCGTCGAGCTAGGAAATTTAATTTGACACGACACAAACTCCCGAACATTTGCCAATCTCAAATGTGTCGATGCCATGTCGATTTATTATTTCAATGAATCATTTCTTCGAACATAAAGATGAGACAAGCTTGAGAGGTACAACATTTGTCTTTTTGACTTGGTAAGAAGACCGTAATGCAAAAGAAAATACAGATATCTATACATAAAATTTCGATATGACAGTGGGTTGCCTGAGATTCAAGCTCGAAACTAGTTGGTTGGAGTAGATAATTTTCTTTTGAAATTCGCCCTAATGTACTTGATCCATGCATAATATCATGAATAATGGATACAACAACCCACTTATTATGACGCATCAACTTGTGAAATGGTATGGACCAACCAGGGCTATTTCGATCCAGGGTTTCAACCGGCGGAGTTCACTTTAGGCTTGGTGCGCATTATGTTTTGATACCACTGGGATTGAACCTGTTGTATATTGTAAAAATGAACAGGTTAAAACAGAAAAGCGAAGTCCATTTTTTTTGGCATAATCATTGTCCAATTAAGTCGATTTACCATTAAATCGGTTGTAATGGGTATTCAAATCCAATGCTCGGCAATGGATTTTTTTAGTTTCCCTGTTTCATAATCTAGCTGAGCAACAAGATTAGTCTATGTCATATGCTTGCAATGATTCATACAGCAAGTTATTAAAAAAATGGCATGGTTGGCTCGCAAGTTCAACTTTCATGGTATTGTACTGGTGCATGTTTTATTACATCAGAATCAATTTATTTAAAGGTTTAGACTTTGATAATTTTCATACTTTTTTGACTCTTTCATGGTTCAACTAAGGTCGTCATAAAGCTTGTGCTGGATCGGTAAAAGCTCATGGAGGTTTTAAGGACTCAATGTGACATCTACGGTGATATGGGAAAATTTTGCATTAATTTCTCCCCCAGTCATGACAGAGATTCGAAGATTATAAGCTAGTCAAACATCATTATAATCATATAATCCTTAGGAGTCTTGATTTTTATTTACTTTTTAACCCCACATTCTCTTGGGACCCACTGATTATAAGCGCTAAAAAGCTTAGCCAAGCAAGCACTTGGTATTAGGAATAAGAATTTGAGACAAAAACCGGCATACTATCATAAAATTTTAGCACTGATACATGTATGGAATAGACAACGTACCTTTGAAAAACTCATAGTCGGAGGGGATAACTCTACAATATGATTATGCTCCGCAGTCAGAGATAAATTTAGAGTATGATTACACTCTACACCTTTAATTTCTCTATTGATTGGAACATATTTTTGGGGATACAGAGAAGTGTAGGATTGGACATTATGAAAGCTTCTGGATGGAAATGAACAATTTCTATTAGTAAAGAGCTCATTCATTTGTTCAGATCCCAAAAAAGTTCCGAGTCAAGAGGTTCGTTCTAAGTTGGAGGCTAAACAGCGAAATTGCCGAGCCAGTTACAGAAACTTCACCCCTGCCAATCCTGACGCATCATCGAAAGTTCCTATACTTCTGCACCATTTTGCTCAAGTACTCTACTAGTTACATTATCAAACAATGCCCATGGCTTTAATTTGCCAAATGTATGGCAAAACATTAATTAACAATGATGAGATACTGTAGAGGTTATGCAATATGGCAACCTAATTGCCCTCAGAACCATTTTCTGTTGTACATCTCAATAAAAAATGGTCTAAAAATAACAAACAATAGAATAGAGAGGCAGCGGTACCAAAATTGTTTGACAGAAAACTATACAACGACAATAAACTAAGGTTACCTCACGCGATTACGAAAACCCTTAGCTCTTCCCGGTCTCCCCGAGTGATTCGCGTGTCTGAGTCGAGGTATGTAACTTCAAATTCACCAGTTCCTGGGTTAGATGGCGGCCTTAATCCATCTGGTAAACGGGGTATATCCAATGGTGGAAGTTGTGATAAGCTTCCAGTTGTCTTCACAGTTGTTTTTTCGAATGTTATCTTGATTTTGCAACTTTCTGTTAAAAAATTTGAGGAACATTCATCAAGAAAATTTGTAATCCATCTCTATAAAATTAAGGAAAAGGTTAAAAGAGGCATTTAAACTGAAAAACCGAATATAAAGGACTCATTTGACATGGCTTTTGCGAAGTCAAAAAGAACTTTTGAGACTCAAAATCTACTTTTGAACCCGTTTGGTTATTTTTACAAAAGTGTTTTATCTAATTAGAAGAGCTTTTAGAGGAAGCTGGTCTAATGTAAGTTTCATCTAAAAGCTCTTCAGGAAGAGAAATTTATTTTGGAAATTAGTTTCGAAGCATTAATTAAGGTAGCTTCCTCAGAATACTTTTCTACAAGCAAAAGCTTAGCCAAACGGCCCCAAAAGTTACTAACCTATAATTTCAAATTTGTGGGCTAAAGTGGCAGTTACTTCAACAGGTGGAAAAGGCCATGGAGCACCTAGTTCAAGCTCTACTATGTTGTCAAAATCTTTGCTAAAGATGTCAATCCTTTGGAATACCTGATCAGAAACAAAGACTTAATCAGATAATAAGGAAATACTGCATTCCAGCATGTTTTTCTAAGCTCAAAACTTGCTTAAATTTACTTTGATGCAACTTTTTATTTCCAACATGTTTAGATAAATTGTTTTTTTTTTTTTTTTGAAATAAGTAATTCTTTTCTTATTTATAAGAAAATAACTGATGTACTTTCAAATGAAGCAACTTACTAATTTTCAACTTTGACCAATAAAATAATTTATTTTACGACCTTCTACATAAACTTACTTGTATTTTATTTATTTATTTGTTTTTTAAAGCTTAGAAAACAAGCACTTGGTTCTGTAAGAAATTTTCTAATGGAACGATAAAAGACCATTTACGAGAACAAGATAGCAATAGCATTGAAAGTCAGAGGCATGGATAAAAAGCCAAAAATACGGACCATTCCAGCCAAGGTGACTAAGAGACTCCCAAAATGTCGGATTCAATTCTCAATACTTGAAATGGTATTTTTCAAGCACATTAATTCACAAGTACTCAAATATGACAACCAGAAGACGGTGACATTAAAGGCATATTACATAGTACTCTATTGTACCTGACCAAGAGTTATGGGAAGAAGTCTTCCAGTGGGTGGCCCGGGACGGCTCCCACCAAGAGTCCGAGAAGAAAATGCACTGCTATAAATCAATTTCCATCTGCCTTGCAGTTTATCAAGATCAGATGAAAGATCTACTGGACCAGCGGTCGATTCAAGTTCCTTTGCAGCATCTTCAGCTTTGCGTATATCATCTTCATTTGCAGCAAGACCTCTGTTTAAGCCAGAAACTGCACTCTGAAATTGGCAACCCCCCCGAATCAGTAGGCATGATTGGTTGCTAACAACTGAGTATAATATACATCCAATTTATGAGAATTACAGAGAACTGCAATGCAAACTCAAAAAGCTTTGAAGAATCATAAAGATTGATTTGATGGAAAATAATTAATATAAACCGCAATAAAAAATTGAAGTCTACAGTCGGGAGTAGTTGCCCTTTTTGATACTTTCTGTTAGGAGTTAAGCCTTAATCCCTTTTTATGGGTGTCGTAATAAACAAAATGAAATTGAAATCATGCAAAGGAAGTGCATGACAGCAAACTGAGGACAATTGACCAAGCTCAAAAACACCTTCCATCCATCAAGAAATGTCCACAAATCTCATAGTACAAATTGACCGTACCACAAAATTTCATTACTCAGCTACTGTGTTGCACGGACACTTCAACTAGAGCGGCATGTTAATATCCGACACGTATCCTACCAACACTCTTCGAACACTCTACTATGATCATTTTTCTTTCTTTATCAAAAATGTTATATATTTTTAACTCAAAGTTATTATTAAATAATAAATAGATATCCATATTTAAAAAATTTCAATAAATGAAGAATTATAAAGACACATTAATACCTATCTATGTTGACACACCAATGGAGGGCATCGTAAATATTGCTTCATGACGGTCAAATTATTGCCCTTCTTCTCCATGGTTGGCAAAAGTCAAAATTAGGTTCCTACTTCTGAAATTAAGTGATACGATCTAGTGACATGTTTGGTAAAGTTGATTATAAAATCAAATCTTGTCCTTTTATGATACAGTCCAATTGTATCTAGTACCGAACTAAACATGCCGTACAAGTTTATCCATCTTGCTGATCCTACATGTATCGCTTGCTCATCCCAGTTTTGTGAATTTGTCAAATTGAGGCACTATACTATAATGTTTACTTCATTTATAACCAAAAGAAACATCACTTTGTGAAAAGTGTATGTTTGCTTGATCATAGAAGACAATACTAAGTTGTAGACCATAGCATTTTCTAATGTTCGACCAAATTTTGACTGTCTTTATCTAAAATTATAAACTAAAATCTCCTACATCCCCCAACACACTTCAAATCCTTTTTTTCCACTGCTTGTTCATTATTACATCTACCGGAAGGTCCAAAACAACTGAATAATTAACAACCACAACTAATTTATGTCAACTTCGGTGTACTATCCCCTATTCTAAGACATTACTAAACAATAATAATTAATATAAGAAATTTAGAAAATTTAGCTACAAAATTTCTCCATCACATTTATGGAAAATAATCATAAATCAACTAATCCATGAAGAAACGAACAGATTTTACCAATAACTAGAGAAATTAACAGAAAACCAAACAAGTATTTTGCACTATTCAAGAATGGTCACAAGCAATTCTGGAAATACCCCCCCCCCCCCCTACCCCACACACACACGCACCCAAAAAAATAAAAAAACTATCAACATCATCAAAACTCAAAAAATTTCAAAAAAAGAAAAACCAGGACTTTGATTCATACCAATAATTTGAGCTTCAAGGACCCAATAAGTTCATCTTTTGATTGTTGAGTTTCAGGAGGTTCAATGAATGTGACTTGTGATCTTCTACTGGACGTTTATGGCATTTTCTTGAAATTGCAGTTTCTCCTTGTAGTGTGAAAGGAACATAAATTAATGGAACCATAATTTGTTGGTGAAATTAAGGATTGTGATGGTATCGATTGAATGTGAGAGAGTGGACGGGTAAAATTAAGAACAGAGGAGGCCATGACTGTTTGCAGAGTATGTGTCTCCCTGGAACTGATATCTCATTTAGCTAAAAAGAAGTTTGTTTCTTTTCTTGATTGGGTGGTGAGGGAAGTTTTGTAGAAACTCAGTTGATGGTCTAAAATGGTGCTAAAGTGGATTCAAAATATCCACGTTTATTATTAGAATTATTGTAATTGTACATCAACAATTGTACATAAAAGTCTACACCCCCTCACATGAGGGGTGAGACCCATTAAAATAATATTTTTTTATTCGAGCGGGTCCCACCCCCATGTGAGAGGAGTGTAGACCCTTATGTATGGGGTGATGTACCCTTATTATTATTGGTCAATTCAATGGCCATTCGAATCCAAGACAGGCTCTTCATATTCCATTTTTGGGTAATTTGCAAGTTAGGGTGTGTTTGATCCACATTATTTTGGAAGAATATATTTTGAAATAATAGATTGATGGAGAATGTGTTGTTGAAAAGGAATGAAAAGTTATTGATGTGATACAAATTATTATTTTATTGAAAGATATGTAGTTGAAAATGAGTAAAAGAATGAGAATGAAAATTTTAATTTGTACCAAACAGGGCTTTAATGAATCCTTTACAAATTGAATTATCCTACATTACACCTTGGCGTGGGGTTGTAAGCAAAAATCGTCAAATCGAACCGAAACCGTATTTTAGAAACCGTCGGTTTGGTGCCACGTGGACACGTCAATAAAATTGTTTTGAACCAAATCAAACCGGTTAAAAACGATTTGGTTTAAGTTTGATAATTTTAATTGCGATTTAAAACTAAATCGGACCGGTGAAAAAATATAAAAAAATAAAAATAATGATTTTTTTTTTGAAAATTCATCCAAATATGTAAAATTCAATAGTTTTGTCATTTGTGTGTATTTTTGTCAATTTATAATTTTATATTACATATATATTAT